GCCCGCACGTAATTATGCGGTCGGTCGGGAAATAACTGACGGCCACATTTAATTGTGCGGTCCGTGGTGGCTGGGTTTCGCTTCCTCCAGTCCTGGTAGGCCGTCTTCTCTTCCGTGCTTCCCTGAGGTTGGGGCACATCACGTCCAATTTGACGTGCCTGTTGATGCACTAGTCGTCGGAGTTGATGGCTTCTAAAAACTCGCGGCCTTTCTTGTATAGACTAGACACAACAACGCAAGTTTCGTCTCATGCAAATTAGTTTCCAGTTTCTAATGAGTGCATGGCGACCTCGGACAGTTAATATTACCTATTTACCGCTCATTGATGTTTGCGTAAGCGTGTGGAGACTGATCTTCAATCTTTCAATGACTACTTTTCTGTCCAAATTACCAATACTATCCTTAGGATGCACAATCTGATTTCGCAGAGTATTCCTCGGTTCAAGCGCCACCTGGATTTGATGTTTCCTCAGGTGTCTTTCAACGAGTTCAGACAGGTTTTTAACATATGGAAGTGGTCGCCAGCTTCTTGGATTGGGCGCCTGACCGGGACAACCTACTTCCTTTTTTGCTTTAACTGTTGTCGTGTCATGCATGGACGCACTAACTCTCTCGGATAAACGGTTTTGAAAACAGTTTGAACAGCTAATTAAATTCGGCTTGGTAAAGAGTTTTACTTATTTTGTAAAAGTTGGCCTTTTAGCTCATTTCCATCGGCTGGTTCAGGTTGTGGTTAGATGGAGCTAGTACATGATTTCTCGCACATTCCAAGAAATTCCGACTGGCCTTCCCTTTTTTTCCCATGTAGCCTACCCATAAAACACCCATTGCCACTAGTCAGACAGATCCTATGTTTCCTGAATTGGATGGTTTATAGCGTTTTTGCTCGTTTTTCTTCAGACAGGTTTTTGAATTGCAGCTGATACAGCTGGCTCGAAATAGTGACTCGGGTCGACCCGGTGGGAACGCTCCTGTTATAGGGGATTGGTATCCAACGAATTAGCAAGACTGCCAGTCTATTTTACGACGTTATTTTAGAACAGAAACATGGTTATCGGAGCAGATTTTGGTGGGAATGTGCCCATTCCCACGACTACTCTGTTAGCATACGCCTAACAGATTGATAGCCTGCGCAAGCGGCGCGCCATTCCCAGGCCCGCGAACTCCTCTTACGCAGCTGTCACGAGAGCGCGACGTGACTATCGATTTTCCCCTGATCATGATTGGCCCATGTCGCTCGATGTCTCTCTCGCGTTCCCCTTTAAAGTACATGCACGTTGTGTCTGACTCGACTTTGCGGTTGCTTGCACTGACGCGCTGTACCGTGCTCTTGTCCGAGTACACTCTTTGTCTGGCAGACTGGTCTTCTCACTGTCTCTCTTACGGGCTCTTTGGGGTACCGGTTCGTGCTGATTATAGAAGTACCAAGGCGGGTCATAACAGATTTACTGTGAGAAACTGCAATTTGTAGGTTTAAACTGCTCCACGGAGACCTTGGGTTGCCTGACGATATCAATGTTGTTACTCGCTTACCCCCACTAGGTCAAAGTGATCATGTAGTTCTTATGTGAGAACACAATTTAATCTCATTGCTTGCCTAATCGCAAGATCTCCCACCAAATATTTGGCGTGGAAACTGCGGATGTCCACGTTCTCGGAAGTTATCGAGAAAGCTTGCGAACAATTCAAAGAGGCTATTCTCAACTTCATCTCTAGCCACTGCCCAGTCATGTGCAGAAGACTGACAGAAGGTGCTGGTAGACTCCGTTCCTAAACATGGAAGTTAACTTTCGAAAAGAGCCCTCAGCGATAGGACGCCCCTAAATCAGAGAAATCATGTCAAAAAGCTGGCCCCCCGGAGACCGACAGATTTTCGAAAAAGATCAGTTGAACCGTGCCATTGTTAATCCCAAGGACCCTTAGAGTTATACTAGGCAGAGCACGCGGATCTTATCCTCCTATGTATTGTGGACAATCGAAAGTACGGAAATCTCAGAGGAAAAGGATAAGACTGACCAATTCTCGCAGTTCTTCTGGTCCGATGTAACGACTAAACCTGACTTTTGTCGACCAACTTATGAAGCCGAAGTAACGCCTTTCACTGACTCAGTCCGCTTCCCTGTAGAAATAATTCAAGCGGAGTTTTCTAACCTTAAAGAGTCGACCTCCCCAGACGCCGACGCAATCCCAGCCAAAATGTTGAAAGAACTAACTTGCAAAATAGCTAGCCTATTTCAGGCGTCATTTCATACCGGTTTTCTGTCCAAAAGTTCGAAGTCTACAACCATAAGTCGGCTATCTAAGAATGGGAGTCAAACCTCTACGAATAATTATAGGTCGGTCAGTCTTACCTCCATTTGTTGCAGAACCGTAGAGAAGATAATTGAAAAAAAGTGTTGATGTAGTTCCTCTAGCAGAATCATCGCCTTTCTCACATTCGTAATGACACGTCTTGTCGTAAAAACCACTCATCTCACTTAAACGCTAAATAAAAACACATTTCTCAGGCAAAATGGTGCATTCCATCTATACTGACTTATAAAAAGCCCTTCGAGAGCATCCCCCAGCAACGCCTCCTGCATAAACTGTGCAGCGGTGTTCGTGGGAACCACTTTGTATGGATCCAATACTTGTTGACTTGACGGTCCCAAAGGATACATGCCGGTCGCCAACAGTCCTTAGGGGTAACCGTGGTGAGTGACCTGTCAGAGGTCTCAGTCTCAGGGCTTAGGATCCTGCGATGTCACCCTGTTCGCTGACGACGTCAAATTGTGGAATAATGTTCAAAAAACGTATCCAAACAAAGCTGACCAAGCTCGAAAACTTGTCAAAGCACTGATTCAGGCCAGTCAGTGTAAGTAAATAAAACGTTCTCCAGACTCCAGCCCGAAGATTTACATCTTAAACGATACATCGCTGCAATAGGTTAACAGTTAGGACCTCAGTGGGCGGTTGCTCTGTTGTTCTGTGCACATTTGAAAAATACACTGTACATATATCAAGTCTTTCACTTTGTAATGGAAGGGCCCTTTGGGCCTTAACTATACAATTTATTTATCAATTTAACTACACGCAAGCTTAATCAAGCATCCTAAGTACATTTAATCGTACTACTCATAATAAGCGATTAGACGTTTAAGTTTACCCTTTTTTACCGATTATTTGAGCTGGCCCCATCCTAACGAAGCCGATGACATTACTCGATAAAAAGGGTACTAGTCACACGTTACTTTTAAAGGGGCCTCTTCGGGAATCAGTCTGTTCGACGAAGACAGCACGTTTAGATTAATGATCCAGTGGCCAATCACAGAG